ATATATACGAAGAGTGTACGATAAGTCTATGGAAGTGAAACGATATGAAGAGTGTATCTATCGAATGCACGCAATTTAACTGTGATAATTTTATGTAGTTATGTTTTAATGCCCAGGTGCAAATTTAAATAGAAAATAGTGCAAGTTTTATATGCCTCTAAAACCGTGTAACAAGAGACTCAAAACAAACAACAAGCGAAAGATTGAGAATGGAAGAATTTTCTCAGAATTTGATAACTTATAACTAAGATATTCTTATTTAAAAAATGCACTTAGTATTAAACATTTCATAATAGTAAAACACGTTTGTTTCCTATGCACTTTTCTATATACCCTTAACAGCCTTATTTGCATTTTGATAAATTTAATAAAAATGAATAAACTGTATGAAAAAAACTTGTGTTACTATATAGTTTTCTTGGATTTTGAAAGGGTTTGAATGATTTTAATTAATTGATTGAAAAATCGAATTCCTTAAGTTCCGCTTCAATTGATAATGACGTAGAGGTGTCGCCTATAAATGATAATTTTTAGTCCTCGATTTTTTCAATTATGTCTGCTATTTCTGTTTCCCTGTTATTTCGATTAAAATTTTAGGATTCATAGTTTTGTTATTATATAAAATATTAATTACAAAGCATACGTAAATATAGTCTAATTAGTTTTATTTAATTACATAACAATACCCGGCGCTGTTTGGCTTCGATTGGAAGTGCAACACAACAGCTGCAAGTTATATATATAAAAGTGAAGTCATCTAACAAAGTGCAACATTTTTATTGATAAATAATTTACTTTTCATAAATTTAACAATCATAAATTGTATTTCTATGTACTTTGAGCTAAAACAAGAGATTTCGATTTTGTTTCTTTAGAAGAAAATAATTTGTAACTAGAATTTGGTTATACGTATATCATTTGTTTTTATCTTTTTGTTTCACTTTGGCGTAGTAAAAGCTTCTTCATATCAATCGAGTATTTTTGCTTTTCAGAGACATCTAATAGGAAGGCTTCTTGAGGGATATCATTTCATGTTGCAAACAGTGCTTGAATGCATCCCACCCCTCCGACTTGGCCATCGACTGTAAGGCAATAGTTTCTTGATTAGTTTCATAGGGAAAGTTTTTGTGGCAATCAAAAAATAGTTATAGTGCGCAAAAGAAGGAGATACGACAAGTGGGTGAGACGCAGAGTCGAAAAATAAAGTGGGGGGTTCCATACCATCTTGAACCAACCTTTGCTTGGGCAACGTTTTTATCATTGTGCTCTTTACACCGCATCTCAATCATATCAGCTTCTTGCTAGGAAATAACAGAAAGCACGAGTGTATTTGCCACACTATGACTAAACTGGAACTTTAGACCTGGGTTTCAGCTATACGCATAGGCATGTGAGTCAGGTTTGTCAACAATAATAAACTTTTTGGCATAACAAAAATATTTGATTAGCTAATGAGCAACAACAACAACAACGACAAGTAATAAATTAACAAATGAACACTATCAATTATGAATGGAAGGTGTGAGAAAAAAAGCAGAAACTCTGAAATTAATTGGGGTATTCCTGCATAAATTAAACTGAGAGACAGTATTTTATGATACAGCTTAATTAATTGCAGGCATTACCCTAACATTCAAGAATGATACAAATTAAATGAAGAACATAAAATAATCTTTAAATTAGCATAAAATAAAAATCGAATTTATTGTTTATTGGTAAATTTTAATGTTTGTGGCCAATCAAGATCTTAAAAATAAAATAAGTCTTTAATCCAATTGAGTCGTTAAACAACTGGTGACAATACAAATTAAAATATTAACTGAACAGTGATAAATAAGGAACATTTAAGCTTAAGCACAAATAATGATTAGAGCTAAAATTAAACACACTCACAGATGCGAGAGACAGACAGACACACACGCACACACACATACATAAGCGATAACGAGAACAAAAGCTGTTTTAGATTAGTGCCAAAGAGCATCGCTGTCAATGTAGTAGTCCAATTGGCGACAGAGACTGTGGCGCCAGGCTTGGAACATGGGATACTCGGGATCATCGTATGCATCCAGTGCCTCATTGTAATCAAAGAAACGACCACTTACTCTGAAGCCGCGATGCAAGCGATCCTTCATGATGGCTATGAACTCCTTATAGTGCAGCAGGCCATCGCCATCCGCATCGAATATGGCAAAGACCGTATCAATCAAGTGCTCGCTGAGGCTATATCCCGTACAGATCTTGGCAGCGCGCGCAAATTCATCTATAAAAAAAAAAAAAATTAAAAATAAATAAATAAAATTAAGTCAATTTATCAGTCACTTGACTCACCCTTGGATATGGACCGATCAGCCAGTGTGTACATACGCATAGCAATTGTAAAATCATCGAGATTATTCAGAAAATGACAGAAGTCTCGAAAATCATTGAAGGAAATGCCCTTTTCATCCTTGACGCGCTGTAGCAAACGCTCCAAAAACACATCGTACTCGTCCGTGGCCAGATAAGTGTAGCGCAGCAAGATCTTGGCGAAATCTAGCTCCGTTATAAAGCTTTGACCCTTGGAGAACTCATTGAACTCCAGTTCCAGCACTTCGGTCTGCAGATTGTCCATGAAACGGTAGAAATGATCGTAGGTGATGACTCCGGTGCCGCGCTTGCCAAACAGATGCAGCTGCAGAGTGGTGGGCACCATATGGCGTCGCTGTAGTCCCTCAACATCATCCACATAATCCCGCTGCAAATATATGTGCATATATAGAGCATTTGGTTTGGTCATTCTATATTCAGTTTAGTCACACAGCAGTTAACTAGCGCATGCTCAACCTTACCTCGATCGCAGTTTCTTCTCTTTCATTGGAATCGGAATCGGAATCGTACTCTTCTAGCGTCTGCTCGCCGTGTTTTTCTTTCCAAGCGCCGCTAAATATGCGCTCCATCTGGGTTTTTTCGGTTATATACAAATCGTTCAAGTGGAGGGGTTTATGGGGGTAGTTAGATTTGGAGAGAAGAACAGTTAGGTTTAGGTTTAGTAAGGTTTTTGGTTGCACCGGGCATAAGGGGTGGGGTTTTGTGAAAACGTAAAAAACAGAACGTAACGTAACGTAAATGCATAACGTAATCAAATTTAAAAGCATACATTATTGATAAATAGAATATAGGGTTTGGCAGTAAAAAAGCAATTGTACAGCTTCGCAAATAACATAGCCTCAAATAACATAACATAACGTAACGTAAAGTAACGCGCAACTAACGTAACTATGCAAAGCTTCTACATATGCGCTTTACGCATATTTGACAACGTCGAGCGTAGTTTTGTTTGCTGTAAAGCAAAGCCATAAGATATTTTATTGTATTTTGTCGATTTCTCGTTGACTTACAAGACCCCTGGGTCGTGAAGTAGGCAAATTTTTCAAAACTGGTTTCTCATCAAAGGGTACTAAGCGCCGTAGCTGTATTATATTATTAAATAAAATTATGGTATTCAATTAAAATTAAAAGTAAATAATAATTTAAGATAAATCCTGCTGCTAACGCTGGCTATTCAGATAGAATATCGAATTAATAGAATTATAATTAAAACATAGTAAATAAATCTTACAAGCTCTTTGGTTTTTGGTTCCACATCTTGTATGGACTTGATAGCGCCAGCCAAAATGGCAATAATCTGTTAAAATTAGAATAAAAATAAATTATAATAAAATAAAAAATTTTAATTTAAATGTNNNNTATATATATACTTAAAATTAAATAAAATAGTTCCATGAATACTGGTTACATGTAACATATACACATATATAATATGTACCCATCTTCATATATATTTGTAGTACTTACGACTAGAAATTCGGCCTTATCCACTCGCTGATTGCCGTCCGTATCGAACATGTTGAAGGCAATGCGAAAGCCGGACTTGGGTTCTGCAATGCATACATAATATTTAGTTGAAGCTTAAATAATACGTTGCATATAAATATATATCATAAGAAGGTCTTATGCACTTGTATAATGTATAAACATTAAGTGAAGAAGACAAATATTTTACTCGGTCCAATACTTACTGGTTAGAACGGAGAGCAGAAACAAGTATTCCGTGTAGGAAACAATGCCTAAATAAGAAATGTATTAATATTATAATTAATTAATTAATCACTATTCGTATTTACCCTTGTCCCTGAGATTGCGAAAGAGATGTGAGGAGCCTTTCTTGATAGCTGGCGTATGATCCTTGTATTTTTCCACTTCATCGGTGCTCAGCACGCGTCGCTTGAGTCGAGCTGGAAGTGGAGCAATTATTAATAGGATTTAGTTATAATTCGTTATTATTATTTTTACTCACGCCTGGGCTCCTGCTCGACGACAGATTCCAGAAAATCTTGTGGTGTCATGTACAGCTGATTCTCGTACTCCACGGAAGCGAACTTAATGAAGCGTCGCTCGCGTGCGGTTAGTTTAACGTTCTCCAGATCGGTGTCATCGCGATGCTTTATTGATAGACGACAAAAGATGAAACGTTGGGTAATTTGATATGCATACGCACACAGATATATAAATATATATAATGGGCATAAATCAGCGCCCGATCGGATCGCCAGTAATTTCCTTAGCTGGCGCACAAAGGCGGCAAATGCAGACGACAAATAACCGATCGATATCGGAAATCAGGCCGTGCGTCTGGTGACGTTTTGATTAATGCTTGAACGCGACTTGAACTGCGATGTTATTATGAATATATCAGATATATGTGTATATATATGATGTGCATATATATGCCTGGCTTATTTGTAGTCCGCTGCATGTGGCCTTAAAGTGGAATATTGATGGCCTCGACAGGATTCCCACGTTAAGCATTGGCTAAGCAGCTCGGCCCAATAAAGTGCCAAATTGATTTGGTCACAAGATTTTTTTGGGGGTCGGCCCATGCGGACGTATGTATTTGGTTATAAAATAAATTGGCTTAAGCCCCATAAATCTGACATTTAATGCCACACACACAAGCTCTGGGCAGTGCCGCCCCAAGAAATGACTCAATTTTCAGGCCACATGCAAAAGTCGACTGTCTGGGGCATGTGTGCCCCGAAATAAAACTAAGCAAAAGTGATCTAATTATCGGCGTGCGACTAGCAAATACCCTACATGCAGTGGCATTCAAATTATTCATACTGCATATATGTCACTCTTGACCGGATATAATGAATCATTGATTGGTTGATCAACTGATGAGACAGACTTGGGGTTTACTGTTTTATTAAGGAACATTTAATCAAATCCCTCTACATCTGTGCAAAATTGTTGATAGAACCTTGGCTGAACAATAATGAAGCAAAAACAATTTACAAATGTTAAAATGTTAAAAGCCTTAAGCTAGTAAAAAAATAAAATAAAAATCAATAATATACATATATTAATCTATGAGAAGTTTAGATTATAATGCAGTTTAGATATTCTAAACCTGTCCTTAATTAATTCTCGAACTCAATCTAATTTATATTTTATAGAAAAAAATCAAATCAAATTGGAAAAATTTGAGCTTTTCCTTCTAGGACTCATCGCTTGTATAGAGGATTAGTTTATGTTTTTAGTCTTCCTCTGCTTCCCATTCAGAGTAGCAGAGCTTTGTGATACCCTTGCCTAAGCCATTGCGACTGGGCCTTAATAAGACAAAGAGCCGTGCGCAATTTGAATATTAGACATGTGCAGCAGCAGCAGTCAGCAGCAGCAGCAGAGCTGCACGCCCACGCGCTGCAATTGAATCGTGTGTTAATTCTTCATAACTGCGGCTGACATCATCCAGAGGCCAGGCAGGAGAGCCGCAGGCGCTTTGCAGGCGCTTTATATATGTTTGTATCTTATAGGCAACAATTAAAACTCATTTATCATCGTGAGAGGCAGTCGTCGTGGTTGTCATAACGTGGCTCAGGGACTTGGCACATGTCAGGGACGCTGCGGCCCGAACCATAGCCACGCCTGCGTCTGGCATTGGGCCTGCYAGCCAGACAGCCAGCCAGCCTTATAGTGGGTGTATCAAAATCCACACTAGCCAGATCGATTGATAGATAAATTTCGTGGCAACTGGCATTTGTGTCAGCATACGTTCTGTGGGCGCGTTGGCAGGTGCGTGGGCGGAGTTCTCAGCTACTTGGACACTTTATCAACTAAACCAAATGCACTTCTCATTATTATTATTATTATTATAAGTTGTTGTCGTCGGATTTCAAGGTGTGTGGCAAACAATCTGCGCCCAATTGCCKCACATGAAGCATTTTTATTTTTGCTTTTGTACTTTGGTTGTGTGGCAGTTCTGTTGAAATTAATGCAAAGCCAATTAAATATTCAAGAGCACTTAGATTGTATAAGATATGAGCATGTAAATTGGGATAATAAAATGTCCAGAAAATCAGCTATAAGACTCTAGCAGATACCCTATAGACAGGCCCACACCTGACGTACCCATATCCATACTAATCTAATCATAATTGGTTTATCAACATTTTGAAAACAGACTATAAAATCTGATTTCAATTGCAACATTAAAAATGTCAAACAACCCTAAATCTGATTTCATGAATGTGCCATGGAACGTTCACAATCAAGAATTGAAGTGGGGTTTTTTTTTTTTTTTTTTTTGAAGTTGGGGCAACATATTGCCCGGCGGCTGAACCCAGGGGGTTTTTTTTTTTTTTTTTTTTTTAAAGATTTTTGTTTTCTAGGTAGACAGATAGGGATTGGCTATTCTACAAAAGTATTACATTCAAAGAAGCTCTGATAACCCTGTCATGGATTATCTGTCGTATCGAACATTGTTTTCATTAAAATCTTTGTAGAAGTGGTTCACACCAGCAGACATAGCCACCATTTGACCATAAAAAAGCCATGTGCCAAGCTTTACTTCACAGACTGTTAACCTGTTTAATAATATGACATATATCTGATCGACGATAAATGTACCCATACTTTTGTTTTTTCATTTTTAAGAGATCTAATCATAATAATAGGCTTTATTATGTAAACACTTTTTTGTTTATTCTATTCTATAATGGGAGCTAAAATGTTGTTTCGACTAAAAGCTTTACGCTTTACGGTTCCAATTGGGTTAACCGCAACCTACCTAACCCTATGGACGGAATATGGAATTTCAAAAAAGTCCCCGCTTAACCAATCACAGAAATATATATAATACTAATTTATTCTGCGGGCTCCTGAAGCCAGCTGTATTACTAATCCGCTCTACTGCATGAATGACGAATTAATCATTTGGAGTTCTTAAGAAATTTCGTTACTAAACATGAAACAACATTCACGTCAGAGCAGTCAGTGCTATACGCATTGCTCAAGCTTTGACAGCTAATTACCCAAAGTACTTCACTTCAAATATTAGTTATTCACACCATAGAGTAAATGGAACAACAATAAAATGCTTATCAGAGCGACAGCAAACACGCAACGCAAGTCAACAACATTTTTGGTTTAGCAACACTAAAATAACTGACAATGTCAACAGGTGGAAAGACAAGTTTGTTGTTTTTGTTGTTGTTGTTTATTGTTGTTCAATGAACTTGAGCACGCAACAACAACAACAGCAACCAATGGAAATCGGTACCCCCCAAAAAGCAAAAAGGCCGTGAACCACTTTTATTTCGTTTTGTCTAAGGTCTGTGGCCAGTGCGCAATGAGTAATCGTCACAAATTAATTTGTTCTACGTAAAGCAGGCGCTGGATTGATTTTGTTTACCAAAAGGCACTCTAAGCAAACAAAACTAAAAAGCGCAGCGAATGCTGCGAGCAAAACAAACACACAAACACGCACCCACACACACTCCTTAGTCGGTAAAACAGCTGTTCTCATGTTACGTTATGACAAACGCAACAGCTGGCTGCGCAGCGTAACGTAAGCTGCCCCAAGCTAAAAATAACTGCGCGAGTCTTTTACGGTCATTTATTGACTTTTCCACATACGCATACACACTCACGCAAATGCACTGATATCACATTTTTTTGTTCTTTATCACTTTGCAACTATTTACCAGACTCTTCTTTCGCATTGCATTTGCTGTGTTTGCGGCGCTTCGCAGGCGAATAAGTGCAGTCAGTGCCGCTAAGGAGACGAAACTGCCGCCCACTAGTACAAGTAGACGTCGTGTGTTATTCCTTGGTTGGTATTTATTTGCAAATCCAGTGCTGACACTACGAAAGCATGATTTATACACTGTCGCACTTTGTTGTTGTGTTAAAAATGCACTAGTTTTAACCGTTAGACGCGCTACGACCTTTGCCATTGTGGATGGGCTCCGCGCTTTGCTCGCAAGTAACTAAGCGAAGTGAGAAATAGAAAATACGTAAGAGTCTATTGGTTAACCGTTTGTCACGTATGGCGCGTATAGCGTTGCCACCTAGACAAAGAAGTGCACAGTGTTGTATGGAAGTTGGCGCGCGTTTGAAATCGTTTACAACGGAATTAAGATAATTTATAAAAAAATTCAGTTCAAGCAAAAGAATCTAAGTTAAATATAATAGACAATTCAAATAAACACCAAATTATGAAATTAAATACGAAATTGAAATATATGTATATTAGCAGAAAAATAAAAAAATCAATTCATTTCAGTTCTAATTAGTTGGGCTAATAAATTTATTTGCTTCATAGTGGCAGCTAGACGAGAAGATGTGCCGTGATCAACGTCGCGCTGAAAGGCTACGTGCACAAATTCACACAAATTTCCCGGTTACGCAATTCCAAAAACTATTTGTAAATCCTGGCAGCGTAAATCACTGCGGTTTTTCAATGGAACAAACATTTGACGCATTTTCTTTGCTAATTTTGTATTTTTATTGTGCATGTCCAAAATATAGATGAATGACGCGCCCGCTCCCACAAAAATATTGCTGCGTCAATAGCCGAACAAGTCCAAAGCTCAAATGACTCACAGTCAATGAGATCAATAAAAATGTCGAAATATTTCTAAAAAGAAAAATAAATATACCAATTCGATATCAATGCAATGCGATTCAAATCAAAACCGGTTCACCGACCCATCAAATTCAATAGAAATGTTCACAACCGCAAAAGAAAAAGATAAACAAAATATCGATTTCAACAGAGATCTGTTCTGGCCGCCCTATGCATCCCTTTGCGTCCCCGAGGGCAGAGGCCACAGGTGTAGTTGGCGTCTGTGTTGCAAGCCAGATCAGTTGACACCGCATGCAGCAAGTGGCATAGCCAGCTCTATGAAATGCTTGGCATTGTTTTCAGTTCGACCGAAGTCGACTGCGTCAGGGCCTGGCGTCCAAATGGGGTTTCGATTTTCTCTGACCAATTCATGAGCTCGTAAATTATGAAATTCTGTTTTAGCTTCATCTTTGACTCATATTTATTGCCAAGGATTGTGTTTCCTTTCGGTTCGCCAGCATTTCCTGCGAAAGTTGTAAAATTTCAGCATTGCCATCGGGCTCCAGCAAGCGCCAGCCTTCCCGTCTGCAACTTGGTAAACACAATTCGTAAGCCATTAAAACGTATAAATATCCGTTGGCGCATAAAAATTTCAGTTGACGCCTTCGCTTCGCTTTGCTTCACTCTCTCCTCTCTCTCTCTCTCTCTCTCTCACTCTCTCTGACTCTGTTTGTGCTGTAAGTATCCTGCGGTTATAAGCGTAGGTATATGAATATTTGTCCGAATAAATTTCAACTTTAAAACGTTCAATTTTTGGTAGTAATAAAGTCGTTTCAATTAGCTTTTGACTTGCAGCCGCATCGTTTATTGCCAAGCCAAAAGTAAATCAGAAAACATTTTGTTTTAACTTGGCCCTCAAACTTAGCGCCAGCCTTCAGGGCAAACACATGTATCTCATACTCTTTACTAAGAGCCTTAAAATTAAGTCATCAAATATGTAACACAGATTAGAGGTAGGTAGAGAGAGAGAGAGAGAGACATAGAGAGAGAGATAGAGAGAGAGAGAGAGACAGAGAGAGAGAGAGAGAGATAGAGAAAGAGAGAGAGAGAAAGGGAGAGAGAGAGTTATTTAACTCTAGCTAACTTTTGCCCTATAGCAACTCTCGTATTTACATACAGTTAGGGTATATCTTATTCGGCATATCTTTTTGCTTGTCTACTCTTCATGTTACTAAAAGTTAATTAGTTTGGCGTTTAAGAGCTGCATAAGAGGCAGCTCCAACTCAAACATTTAACCCACATAAAGCTATTAGCTAATATTGAACTGAAGATTGAGGTGATTAATGCATCATCTAACGGTAAACTTATGCATTTTTTGATATATGAGCCGATTATATTTTTGACATTTATGCGCCTTCCCCCTTTTGTTTGTATTTTTATGAACAGATTATTGAGATATGTCAACGTTTGGGGTATTCTCACGAACTGACTGCGTTTCCGATCAGATCATTTCTTGTTCGTCGATCGTTTCTGATAACACTTTAATGAAAAAAAAAAAAAAACATATATGCCTATACACATATAT